GTTTCATCCCTGGCATGCCAGCCCTGACCCCAGGGTGGGCTGAGCTGGCCACACACACACAAAAGTAACTGTCTTGGGCTGATAGCAAAATATATAATCTAGTAATCATCCAGTCATGGTGGTGGCAGCTGCCATCCCAGCACCCTGGGAGGCTGAGGCAAGAAGACCCCAGTTGTGTCCAGCCTGGGCAACTTAGTGACTGGGTGGGACCAATTAATTACAAAAGAGAACTAAAGTATATAAGTAACAAAACTGCCTTTCATTTAAAAAAGAAAAAGGGGGGAATGAAGTAGCTGTAGGTCAGACACACTGCAAAAAATGTGGAATGAAAGACAGATTGGAAACTGGGGCTGGTGCTATTCACCTTTAATCCCAGCACTCAGGAGGCTGAGGCAGGATGATCTCTGCGATTTGGAGGCCAGCCTGGGCTACAAAGTGAGCTCAAGTCCAGCCTGAAGTACACTGAGACCCTGTCTCAAAAAGATCAAAGGAGAAAAACAAAACCTGCAAAGACCCAGGAGTCAATCCTTGTACCAAAAAGCAAGAAAGCTTCTCAGCCTCATGGCAGATGTGCTAGGGCCCCACCCCAGGCTCGCAGTGATTGGCCTGTGATCCCCAGTCTAGGTGGCGGCCTAGGGGGGGACCAGGACAGGCCTAGGGGGGGACCAGGACAGGCCCCTGCACATGACACCTGACAGCAGCATCTGTGGCAGCGCCCACAGGGACCACACGATGGAAAGTACAGGATGTCCTCATCAGCCTGCATGCCAGGCCCACCCTGCGAAAGCAAGCACAGCCGGATTGTAGGCTGGGAGCCCTGCACCCCCCAGCCGGCGCCCCCAACACCTCCACCCACACAGCTGGACCCCCCCGCTGCCCAGGCATGGCCTCCTCCCCTGCAGGCTTCCTGTTAATGCCCTGACCTCTCTCTTGAACCACTTGGAACATGTGGGTCCCTCCTTGACGAATACGACAGACTGCACCGCGCAATCTCGTATCTGTACCAAAATCGCGCTCCTACCTTAAGCGGAAAATGATCCCTTAGCAGTGCAGCCGGAGTCAGAGGTGGGTGGTGAAGTGTGGCTGAGGTGTGCAGCCCAGCTTTACAGGACACAAGTCACACTGCACCACTGGACAAAGTCCTCCGCCGGAAGCGGATAAGCAGGCCACAAGGGAGCAGTGCAGGGCTCGGGGCTCTGGACCTGTCCCGGGTAAGACAACACCGAGCCCCACACAGCCGCCTCCTGGCACACGCTCATCCTTGCTCCCAGCTCCGCCAAGAGCTCGCCCTGGCCGCCTTATTTTACAAGGGCTCTGAAAACAACAGGTGGCCTTTTCTGTGGGCGCAGGGACAGCATCCACAGGACCCAGTGTCAGTCAGCAAGGCCTGGGCCCAGCCCAAGCTGGGCCCCGCATGGTGCACTGTACTGGATGCCTTGGCAAGGCTGGCCTGCAGCGAGGATATCGCTCTGAACAGGGCAGGGCCTGTCTCTCAGATAAGGACGCCCTGCCCTGTGCCAGTGGCTTAGTGCACACCTGCCTGTTTCTTCTTCCTGGGCTCATGTCCATCGGAGTTGTGCAGCTGAAACGTCCAGCTCTAGAGATACGGTTGCAGAGGCAAAGCATAGGACACACACTGTCCCCAAGGCCAATAACCTGTGCCCAGGAGCGTGTGTGTGTGTGTGTGTGTGTGTGTGTGTATGCATGCATGCGTGCCTGCGCATGCACACACAGCAGTGGAACTTTCAGAGTGCCGTCCAGAGCTGGAGGTGACTCCCAGGACACCAGGCCTGAGTCGGTTTCTAGGGCTGGGGTGCTGGGAGACAGGAAATAAAGGAGCACAGCGTAGACTAATGGGAGAGCAGGCTGCGCCCGCGCAGGCTCAGCCCTTCTCCCGTGCATGCCAGGAAACGCGTGACTTCCAGCAGCGTGGAGCCCGTCCCGCCTGTCCCCAGCGCCCTGCCTACACCCACCACGCACCTACCCTGTCCCGCGGC